CCAGAGAAAATACAAGCGATTCTCGAAATGCCACACCCAACCAACCTACATGAAGTCCGTTCCTTTCTTGGAATGGTAAACCAATTTAGCAAATTTACAACCAATCTTGCTGACCTGACAAAGCCGATCCGAGAACTGCTAGTTAAGAACACTGCGTGGACATGGGGACCACCCCAACAAGACGCTTTTGACAAAATCAAGAAAGCCCTGACATCAGCACCGATACTAACCTTGTACGACCCCAACAAAGCAACCAAAATAGCAGCCGACGCATCATCATACGGCCTTGGAGCGGTGGTGCTGCAAGAAGAAGAACCAGACACCTGGAAACCTGTATCATTCATTTCAAGATCGATGACAACAACCGAGGCTAGGTATGCCCAGATAGAGAAAGAAGCTCTAGCGGTAACTTGGGCATGTGAAGGTCAAGCAATTACATAATTGGAAAACCAATAACAATTTACACTGACCACAAACCACTGGTACCTTTATCAACCAATCATACCATCGACAAGTTACCTCCAAGACTACAACGCTACAAGATGAGACTAATGAGATTCCACATCAAAGATGTTCAACACGTACCTGGAAAACTACACTACACAGCCGACACTCTGTCCAGGAAGATACCTGAAAGCACAGTCCAACCAACCGTAGAAGAAAACGAAATGAACGCTTACGTTTTAAGTGTAATTGATGCCTTGCCCGCATCGAATCCGAGATTGAAGGAAATCCAACAAGCCCAAGATAAAGACGAGGTATGCAAAGAAGTGAAGAAATATTGTATGGATCAATGACGAGAAAAAGATCATGTCACTCCTGCCGTAAAACCTTACTGGTCATTACAAGGAGAGCTCACCATCGCCGACGGGTTATTGCTCAAAGGAACAAGACTGGTCATTCCATCCCGCTTGCAACGCCAAACCCTCAACCAAATACACGAAGGTCACCAAGGTATCAGCAAATGCAGAGAACGAGCCAAAATATCCGTTTGGTGGCCAGGACTCGGTGCCCAAATTAAAGTCATGGTCGAAAACTGTACAACATGCAGCGAATAGAGACAGCAGCATCCAGAACCATTGATGCCAACGCCACTCCCTCAAAGACCATGGCAATTGATTGCAACAGACCTTTTTATTCTAGAAAAGGTTACTTACCTACTTGTGGTAGATTATTATTCTCGCTACGTCGAAGTTGTGGCATTACATAAAAGTACAAGTCCATCGAAGATCATTCAAGCCCTGAAAACTGTTTTCGCCAGACACGGGATTCCTGACGAGGTACGTTCCGACAATGGGCCTCAATATCATAGTGACGAATTCGCCCAGTTTGCAAAGGAGTGGGGATTCAAACACAGTATCAGCAGCCCTCATTGCTGTCAAGCGAACGGCAAAGTGGAACGAGCAGTAAAGACAGTGAAAAACATCCTGAAGAAGGAACATGATCAAACAAAAGCACTGCTGGCATATAGATCAACACCATTAGCAAGCGGACACTCGCCAGCAGAACCAATAACGCTACCGCATTTAACACCACAACTGCCAAACCAGAAACTCTTCATACAAAGGGATGAAGTATATAGATCGAAGCAGAAAAAGAACTTTGACAATCGCTACAAAGCTCAACCATTAAAACCTCTACCACCAGGAGCAACAGTTTATACATCACAGACATGGATTGTACCGGAACAGTAATTAGACCATCAAAGAAACCAAGATCATATCTGGTTGATACTCATACAACGGTAGTAAGACGAAACCGAGTACAGCTGCAAAACATTCACAAGGACATTGGTAAGAAACAAGACGAACAGGAAACAACACCATCATTAAATATAATTAGCAGGCCTAACAGAATTAAAACATTGTCTTTGAAAGCAAGAGAAAATCTTGGACTAGAGTAGTTGACATTCAAAATTATTAAAACATTAAAGTTACAATTAAGATAAGCGAAAGACAGAGATAAGTTGACATTAAGTTTTATATCTTTAAGAAAAGGGAGATGTAATGTGATACAATTAAGATTAACGATTACTAATATTAACTATTACCAATGACGGGGCCACGTGTATATAAACTAACGTATTGATATTAAAGTCTCTTTCAAACCTTACTACAAAATATAGATAAATTGCATATATACATGCACATTCATTGAACAACAAATTACTTCCCCACAAATTTTCTTTGAAAGGAATTACCTTGTGAAAGATCATACAGTTTGAAATATTATATAGATAATTTACAATGCTGTTTGAGGAGCTTTGTCTCATGGTACCGCGCAAAAAATTAGCTAAAATGTTTAGGTTTAATAGAGAGGCAAAATACACAATAATTGTCTTTTTTTGCACATATTGCGCACAAATCAAAGGACACTATAGTCCGCCTTTAGGCTCAGAGGCGGCGGAATATCGATAATTGGGGGGGGGGGGCAGATATTAATGTATTCGTGTTCACAGACTGTAAAAACAATCGATTTCAAAAGAAATGAATTTGGCAGAACACGAATATATGAATATCTTTCCCTCCCAATTATCGATATTCCGGCGCCTTTGTTTAGGCTTGATACCATTAAACTGGTCGCATCGCCCAAAATTCATTTTTCAATTTTCTATGTAGATTTGCACCAGGTTTTTTAACTAATCCGGCGGGTGAAACAAAGTTATCACAGGCTAGTAGTTCTTTAAAACATTACTGCATGTAGTTTTAAATCTGTATTTTTCATGGCATGTTATAATTAAGGTATTTTTGTTCACTGTATATATACTAGGCCGTGGGCTGTTGGCCAAAATTCTTTCGCTTCGTGGCACCCATGTGGGAAATACTTGGTTTGGGGTTTATTTGAAAGGCATATAGGTACATCACTACCAGAAAAATTTCCCAAGCAAAAAAGTTCCCGAGAAAATGGGTGATCAATGATTATCCTCTATTAAATTGTATTACAGCAAAAAATGGGGAATTCTGTATTCAATTACAATAAAAATGACTTGCATCATCGGAAAACGTACAAAAAACCGCATATAAGACTTTTAAACAGTTTTTTCCTTTTTCAAATAGTCTTTGAGTTATTGCTGTTTTAAATGTGAAAATTGGACAAAAATGTCGCAATAAGGACTGGGTACTAGGTCAAAAACGCGTTTTGACAGCGTATAACTCGAAAACAATTTTAGATATAAAAAACTGTTTAAATGTCTTATATGTTGGTTTTTGTAAGCTTTCTGATAATGCAAGTCATTTTTGTTGTAATTGCCGAATACAAAATTTCACATTTTATTGCTGTAATACAATTTAATAGAGGATAATCACTGATCACCCATTTTGCTTGGGAAATTTTTGTGGTAATTAAGCATCTATGGTTCTATGAATTGAACCACAGAAAATCTATTTCCCAGGTGGGTGCCACGAAGTTGCTTTTTTAGGCACTTCTTCGCACACCAGCCCACGGCCTATACTGTATATTCACCAGGAAAGACAAAGGAAATCACTGCCGTGTCAGTGGTTTTTCATGTGAAAAAAAAACACGTTAATTTACATAAACTTTAGCTTTGATTTTCTTCTCTTATAAACAGCGTTTATTTTTAAAATTATTTCGTCAATGAACTTATAAGATGGGTCATTTTTTAAAGGCACAATTCAGCCTTTTGGATGATGGATTCTAAGGCGCACTACCACCCTTTTAATTGAAAAAAACTAACTAGGAAAATCAATTAAGCATAATTCAAAATCAGTGAATTCAATGTTTCTAATAGCCTGCGAACAGGCTGTCAAGCTGAATTGAGAGCCTGCATCGATGACTAATGAATTTGAATATCTGCGTCTGAAATCGTGACGCGAAATTCTCATTGGTCAGATGCTATAATTTATATTATTCCGCTGAGCTCTATATATGTCAACTGCTGAGCACTATGCATAAAAAACATATTAACTGATCAAATTGGTCTTGGCCATCTTATCTCAAAGCACGAAATGTTCTGTTTTGAGAAATTAACAGTATTTAAAACATTTAAACTTTTGCTTCAATATCTTATATTTCCGGAAAAACAGTATAAACTGTACGGTCTAAATTTAGTTCGAAAGGTCTAAATTTAGTTTGCAGGAAAGTTGTAAACAACACCACATAAGGATAGACATTCCATATTTGGAAGAACAAACGTTATGGGGCAGATATTCAAATTCATTAGTCATCGATGCAGGCTCTCAATTCAGCTTGAGAGCCTGTTCGCAGGCTATGTTTCTAACTGATTAAAAATGTTAAAAAATGTTAAAAATATTGTAGTTGCAGTCGTGCTTTGTCAGATATAAAGCACTCCTACGCGTGCTTTAAATATATACACTAGTGTATAAAGAGCGCTCGCTTTATAATAAAGATAGAGCGGATATGTAGGTTTTTTTATCTCGTTTCATCCAAGAGGAATCATCAGGTGGCTCGACAGCCTGTTTCATCCAAGGTTGCCACAACGCACTGTTTCATGTCTTTCATTAAGATTTCAAGATGAATCATCACCAGCCACATGATGATTCCTCTTGGATGAAACAAGCGGTTGCATGTAGCAACTAATTTGAGGTAAAAAAACAACTATTTAAATGTATGTTTGAATATACCAACATTGCATGGTTAAGGGTATTTCAAACTTTTAAGTTAACGCATTTGATGGGAGGTGGTATAACCTTCACTTATGCGCTTGTGAAAGAAGTGCACTTAAAAACAACACGTGAATCTAATACATGTATGCATGTACGAACATGCTGTTTGTCATTCTTAAAGCTTATATAGGTGATCATTTTGAGTAAGCGACCCGTAGTGAAAAAGTAGGGGATGAAAGAATTCATTTTCTAAAAGTTATATGAGATAAGTGTCACTGCATGTGGTCATCTTTTTGTTAAAGAAACTTTGTTTCTAGAGCTAGTGGCAGAGTGCGGAAACAATTGCTCTTATACTTGTGTAAAACTCTTCGCATAAACTGAAACCAAACACTTGTCTTTCATTATTATCAAGCACTGTAAGTATGTGAGTGGGTCTGCTGGTCATCGTTATTATTTGCACTTGATCAAGTATAGAATGTTGTCTAAGGTTTACTAGAACAGCCAGTTTATAACTCATGTTTGATAGTGGAACACAGCTGGTGGAAGGGTCAGTTAGGAGCTAATTTCAACCCACCCTGTCAACATTCCCTGTATGAGGAATCTGGATCGGAGTACCCGGAAAACCCACGACTTTCGATAAAGCGCATAGAATCTTTACATTTCACATGCACGAATATCTTAAGCCGCGGTAGAACGAGAATCGAACCTACGCGATCTCGGAGATGAAAGACACTTTCTGTGATGACTGCGTCACCAAATGATGATTTCTTATTAAACTAAAAATATTTTTACCATAAAATATTGATTAATATTCCAAATTTGATTTAGTTTTTAAGTGTTCAGGAAAAATTGCGTGGG